AAAAAAAGTCGGGTGACCAGTCTGGAGTGGTACAATAGGGGTCTACGACAGGGCACTAACAATGGAGAAAATCTGTTTAGTATGAGGTAGTGTTGGGGACACCTGCAAATCTCCTATAGTGGCGCCCAAGGGGGCAAACAATAAAAAATAACCCACACCACAACACACACACACACACAAAGGAGCAAAACACAACTTAAACAAAGTTCAACTTCAGTAAACCCGTGAATGCTGTAACGCAAGGTTTTATCTTCCACCACACACACATAACAAGCAACGCTCCCACAAAATAAGATAGAACTTTCGTGTTATGGTTGTACCCTTTCAAGAAAGACTCTAAGCAAATACACAAAATCAAGAACTCTATGCAACATGCAGTTGGGGCACGTAAGTTATTGGGCCTATCACTCAAAACAGGAATTCATTTATAATCAAATTTTTCCTTTGTAATTCACGATACGATAACGGAACACAGTAATGTAACGTTATGAAATTGTTAGGCCTACACACTCAATCACACGAAAGGATAATATCGAACTTATGTACTGACTTATTTCTGTGATAGAACACTGGCACTACAAAAATAAATGTAGAAAAAACATATGCAATACTGATGAGCCATCGGAAATACAAGCGGTGGATAAACTAATATCTTAATAGAGATTGAAAACATTGGCAACAGGATTCTCAAAGAAAAAATTGGAACCGGTTCTTGACATTCCCAATCTCTATAAGATGATATGATATGATACACAAATCTGGACCCATAATCTAAACATTCCATCTTTATGGGTCCTGTTTGTCTAATGGCATACACAATAACATAAGCTCCATGTAGAGTCAGGCATTGCTGACTGTAGTTGATGTATATTCCCCAGAGGACTTCTGTTGCCTCAGAACTTCCATTTTCAGTGTGTTGCTTTTATCTATAAGGGATGCTGTTGGAGAAATGAATTAACCTCCCTTCATGCTGCTGGCAGCTGTCATCACATAGACCCTAACCAACTCAACATGGATTCAAGCTTTTCAAGAGTGGCAGATCAAGAGTTTTTTAATGTAGACATTTGTGGTTGAAATGTACCATTACCCCGTTGACACACTCTTGCCACCAACTTTCTTATGCTGCATCACCACAACATCCACTGTATGTGCTATACTTTTGTTATTGTTGATTTGACTATTTAGTATATATTTATTAGTATTAGCTCTCCTGGCAGATTCATTATTGCGGCTCTGAGTCTTTGAAGCTCTCCAAAGAGCACAATTTAATTATCTATAAAATTGTCTAAAATGTGCTATAAATGATCAATTCCTTTGACAGATGTTAAGGACACCTATTCTTATATCAGTTAGTGGTTGTTCTTGGTTGATGCTTTGGCTTGCAGTATGTGTACACATACAAGGAATTTGAAATTCCTCTTAATAACTTACACACACACAACAATTTATTTATATAATATAATTTATATATTATTATTATTGTCAATGTAATCTAGTGATTTGACAGAATCTGATGGGACTCTTACTAAAGTTGGCCCTCCTCCCTGACTAAAACCTCCCAAGAATGTCAAAATCATAAACCTGACAAAAGCATCTAACAGCTACTTATTTTTAAAGGTTAACTCAAAGTGATTTTATTGTTCTTGGGTGCAGACACTAAGTGATAAACACAGACGGCATGTAGAGACAAAACATAAGATAATAAGTAGTAAGAGTGTAACTACAAGTCAGATGATTTATGGGAATGAGAGTTTCTAAGTTTTCTAATTCATGTTGGCCAAGCACATGTGATTTTTTTGACATGTGTTTGTTTTTAAGTTTGTTGAGACATTTATTGAAATTGCTTTAGTCTGGGGATTCGCTTTGGTCTGGGGAAGAAAGAGAACAATTATTTCGGTTATGGCTGTCTTCAGAGAGAAGCACATCAAACGTCATTGTGAAACTTTTATCAAATATGTTGTTTTGTGATTGTTTGCTTTTACAATCATATGGACAGAACAAGTATGATTTTGAAATTACTTTCAATGGACTAACTTAACAATGCAGTGTTAATGCCATCTCTTCTGCCGCTAGCTCAAAGATCTTTCCTGTTTTCAGCATCAAATTATAACTCCTTCTCTTGCACTTTCTTCTCTCTCCTGTGCAGGTACGCCAGAGTCACTGGAGGAGAAGGAGCGCCAGCTTTCCACCATGATCGGTCAGCTGATCAGTCTGAGGGAGCAGCTCCTCTCCGCCCATGACGAGCAGAAAAAAATGGCCGCCTCACAGCTGGAGAAGCAGAGACAACAGATGGAGCTGGCCAGGCAGCAGCAGGAGCAGGTGGGGGGGAATTTCAATTGGTGTGGCGTTGTTTTGTTGATGTTGTATTATCAAAAGTAGTTGTGTTAAGAGAAAGAAGAAAGAAACAGCGTAGTTATTATACCTGAAATGTAGTTTAATTTCAGGTATGATAACACTCACTTCATTGCTAAGAGTCCAGTGGGTTAAAAAAACGTGTAGTCAGGTTGGATACACACATACACAATTTAATTAGAAAAAAACAAAAAACAAATGCAAATTTTAAAATTATTACCATATTTAATGACCATTAGGATCTGCAAACTGACTTCTTTTGGCGTCACCTCCGCATAAAGTTGTTTAGATCAGTGGTTTCTAGCCCATAATGCTTGTGACCCCTTATTAGCTGTTCATGCTCTCTTATATTTCAATTTTCAAATTCATACAGTATTTTGCAAGAAAAAAATGATAAAATAGACTTTGTGTACCAGATTTTTTAATCTATTTTCTACACTGGTAATCGTCTTGTAACACCTTAGATTTGAGTTCAACCTTCATGATTGCCTGGCCGTTCATATTCTTTTTTCTAGTGATGTTGGTGTGTTTCTGGTGAAGCCGGTTTGTAATCATAAATGAAAGTAATGAGGACTGAAACACTAATAATAAGTTATTGTCTGTTGTTTATAAGGGTCGCCATTAGCACCAGCTTAAGCATTGGCTAAAGTTGTGAGGCAGCAACGCATATTTCTTAAAATGTGTGTATGTGTGTTTGTGTGTATCCGTGGCTTCAAAAGTTGTAGACAAAAATACTGCTGCTGATGCGTGAGTCTTCAGGTGTCAGTTGTAGAAAAAAATGAGTGTGTGCCAGAGAAAGAAAGAGAGAGAGAGGACCTAAGCAGAGATGTGTTTAGGTGAGCTGTTCTTTGTTTTTCTGACACGTTACTGTAGATCGGCATACGACAGGCTCTGTTTGGACAAGTCCACACCTCCCATCACAACACATTCCACCTTCCACAGCTTCACAAAGGAACAGGGAAGATGGAGAGAGTGAAAAGAAAGACAGATTCCAATATCAGCCAGTCATTTGGCTGTTGAGACTTGATAAGATAATGCCCTACAGACAAACCCTGAGAAATCTGCCTTTAATGAAATATGACATGTGTGCAAATGGGGCGCCGCCTCCCATTCAGCAGCCTGTAATTACATTTCAGAATAAATATACTAAACGACTCCTCAAGAAAAAAAGAGAGGCAGCTGTGTGGGCAGGATCAAATAGGTGACGTGTTGCCCCTTTAAGGATTTTAACCTTACAGGACTGGCCGGTCCCATCTGCCCATCATTGGATGACACTCTAACAACCCTTCAGCATTTCACTTCAGATGTTTTTTCTTAACAATCTTACATCAAAACAACAGAGGGAGAAATAACTATGATCACCTGTCCTGTTGATGGGTGTGTGTGGGGGGGTTGGTTTGCCTAGTAAACATGTCAATCTCACAGGTTCAGTGTCAGTTAAAAGATTCGTTCAGGAACTCTCCACTCTGCTAACTGTGTGAATTTGTTGCCCCATCCATCAAACTGGGCTGAAGCCCTTTGAGATAATAATCAGAAGGTCAAACAGGCACCTAACTAACTGCCACTGTACCTCCTGTCTAATTTACTGTACTGCGTTCAAGACATTTTTGACCTCATTGGAATTCAACACCACAGTTCAGGCTCTGGTTGCTCCACTTTTGCCTTTATTAAAATACATTCTCTTGTCCTCTCATGTCTTACCCAAGATTGACTTGTTACTCAATATTCGAACGCACCAATTTTCCAAAGTTTAATGTCCCCATGGAAACCAAAAGTTTTTTCTTGCTGCCAAAACATGGTATTAACCAGAAATCAGACCAGACATTATCAAAATAATGAAAAAGAAAAATGTAATGCTAAAACATCAAAGCTAGGGTAAATCAAGATTTTAATGGGGTCATTAGTTCAGTGTGCGTGCAAACTTTCTTTGATTAATCTCGTTCACCCAGATTTTTGTATTACTGATACTGTAAAGCAGATTTTCTCACATAGAAAAATAAAATAATAATAAACACAATAATATTAATAACACAATTTGCCACATTAAAAACAATAAGAACGAGCATAAACATAATGAGCCCTACTTATTCCTCATCTTCTCAGAATTCTGGAAATAGAAACAGATATATGAATGATACACATTGTTATTTTTTTATCAACATTTTCTCTCTTTGTGTGTGCAGATCGCCAGACAGCAGCAGCAGCTCCTGCAGCAGCAGCACAAGATAAACATTCTTCAACAGCAGATCCAGGTTAGTACGCAGACACTCCTACCCAGCTACACACACCTACACACACTCTATAGACAGACTTTACTTTGGTTCATTCCTCACATTTTCAAGCTGACTTCTGCCCTTTGCAGACTCCCCTCTTTTCTTCTCCATCGCCTCTTCCTTGCTGTGTCCATCTTTCTGAGTAAGATGTTAATTTATTGTCTTTTGCCCTTTGTCTGGAAGTGTCAATTTTCCTCCTGTTCCTCTAGTTCCATTATTATTGAGTCTTGTGTTATTGGAAGACAGCAATAACATTAGAGGTTGTGACCTTTCTGTTATGCTTCGCCTGTTATTGAGAAGTACGACAGTTACGCTGCACCAATCTTGCATTAATATGTAGGCATGCAGATACATACACTTACACAATGGGGCCCCAGTAATTGCCCTGGTTATGGCTTGATCGTTAGCTGTTGCATTGATCACTCAGTGATCGATATCCCAACATCCTCGATGCTTCTTCCAACTCTTTCGCTTTCTCTAGTTGTCTATTTATCAACATCTGTTTTCTCTCTTCACCCCAACATGCACTTCCCTCTCTGTCTGTTTCAATCAAACATTTTATTTTACCCTCACACATACTCTCATCTCATGTTATGACTTTCTTCTTTCCATTTACCCGTTTTGCAGCTTTCATAAATCAAGCCCTATAACAATGAATTGAAAAAACAAAACAGGATAAGGTTGAAAAAAAAGAGGATGTAAACAATATATATTTTTATCTATATAGACACATGCAGATAAAAAAGATCCATTGCCGTGCTGTGTGATTCACACTTATTTATACCAGATTCTATGTTTTTCTTGATTTCCTTTTCTTCTTCCTTCTCTAATTCCTATATCTGTTTCTGAGATCTGAGATTTGTGTGCACTATATATATATACATACTCACCAAGAAATTACCACCAGCTGCGAGCCAAAAGCTGGTAAATTTGTGTGCTGTGGCTGGTAGCCATGTGGGAAGTGAGCCAGCTTATATTTCACAGGTTTATTTTATTTTAAGTTGTTGGATTGCTGCTGAATTAAATCAGCTTTGGACACTGATCTGAATCCACTTGTTCAGCGTCATCCCGTGCCCTGTTTACCCCCCATTGGTCCCAAGCTTTGGAACTCCCTGTGCTCCGCAGGTGAGATCTAGTTAACAAGGGCTCGTTTTTTCCCTCTCTTCTTCTTCTTCTCCTTTTTTATGACGAGGCCCCACCCTTGGATCTTAATAAAGCTCGGATCGGACTTCATTACGCCTCTGAGCCCCAGGGGAGAGCGAGACCATAAAAACCAGCTCCTATACTCGGATCTTCTTCCACGCTGTGAAGCATGGATACTGTGTCGTGTTTGGCTTTGAGGATGAAGTGAGGATATGCAGAAAATAGCTCTTGAAAGCAGAATGTTATCATGTAGTGCTTCAGAAGCATCTGCTGTAGATTCAGGTGAAACCTATTTCAACGTATCTCTTGTTTCACACGTATTTTCTATGTTGAATTTAATTTTAAATGGATAGAATTACTTGAATCTTCTGTTTAATAAATGTACAGATATTAAGGCACAAAAAAGATCAGAACAAAAAAAAATTTTTTATTGGAAAGTTGGTAAATATTATATAAATTACAGCTGGGTGTGTGTCAACTTCTGACACATGTTATTTTTAAAACAATAGCATTTCTTGATGAACAAACCCAGCTTAGCAAGGAGCATATGGTCTATCTACTGTACAGAGGTTTAGAATTATTATGGCTAAGCTCCAGGGCTTAGTCACTGGGGTACGGGCTGTTTACGCTGTGTCGGATGTGTGTTGGCTTTAAACACACAGGCAGAGCTGCACCGGTCTGTTTCCACTTATCAAATCCAGACCTGAGCTTCTCTCAGGCCAATACTCTGAGGAGCTGACCAAATGCTACTGTTTCAGCTGAGAAGAATAGGCCTCAGTGTGGTGAAGCCAATTTTTAGAAGTGCCTGTTGTTGTTCATATCTTAATTTAAAACACTAAATGTTGTCCAGATGGAAAAAATAAGCAACCAAAACAAGTTTTTGCTAGAAAAGTGGAATAGTCGATAGTCCCTGTTGTGCAGAGTTCGGTGTACACATGCTATCTGTTACATCATCACGGCAAATAAAGTTAACCAACCTTAAGTGATTCATTTGCATTAATTTTATGACTTATTATCATAAATTTTTAACGTTTTATAGATGAGCATTAAACTGAGTCCTATCTGTATCTGATTTATGAACGGAGACAATTAAAACCCAGTAGGGAGCTGTTTTCAACACATTTTTCCATTTTTGCCTCTCGTCGTTCCTTCTTGCTCTTGCGTGGATGGTGTCAGTGTGTTTGTCAGCAAGTGTGATGCAGTGTTGTATTGGGGGGGGGGGGCGTAGTTCAAAGTGACCTATGTTTCCTGTCATGTGGTTTTAAATGGTGTGGAGAGCCAGCGGGGGATGTCCACGGGTTAAAGAAACGCTTCCGAAGGCCCCATTTTGATGATATGGTTACACACGTGCACGCATGCACACACAAACACATGAAGAAAAAGCACTGGACAACTGATATCAATACATAAAATGTATATATGTGCATGCAAGCTCACACACATATAGTACTTACACATAAGACATCTGATATTAACTTGAAGTAGAGACAGTTGATACTGGTGAATGAATGCACATGTATAGACAGTTTTTTTTTTATATATTCCCATTAGACGCACACACACACACACACACACACACACACACACAAAAACACACATATAGGCACACAAACTTACACACACAGTGGCGGTGGCCCTTTATGTGCCGTAGGCAGAGCAGCCCAGCCCAGGCTGGTGGCTGACAGGCATGTGTCTTTGTTAAGTCAGTTCCTATAATGGCTCTCATATGTGGCCCATTTCCTTCAGGCCCACAAAGGCACAGGCCCTAACCGCACCGCCCGGGCCCTAGCTAACAGGCTAATTAATGACTGCAAAGCCGCACTCCTCCTCCTCCTCCTCCTTCTCTCTGTTCTTCGTTTCTAACTCCTCTGTCTCCTCCTCTTCTCTCTTTCAGTTCTTGCCCCCTGAGTGTTTTCTTTTTGTTTTTACTTTTCAATTTCGTCTTGTATTATTTTCTCCTGTTTAGTCTGTTCTGTAATTACAGTATGCTGCCCCCTGTTGAAACACCATTAGCCCATTGTTTTTGGTTTTCATGTTGTGACTGATTAAAGTAAAGATATGGTTTTGACCAACATTTATAATCTGAGCAGTGTGTGGCAGCTGAATGCAGTCATTTATATTTAAGAAAAATGTGATGTTTACGATAGTCATAATAGATTAAACATGTCTAAAGTTACTGATAAACCACTTAACACTTTACCTTCATCTCCTCTGTAAATTTGTTGTGTCACCACTAATAGTCTGAGAAAAAGCTGGAAGCTTTTCTCTTGTCAATAAAGGGCTGACGTGAAAAGTCTGGGTTGCTAAACAAACAGGCACAAACACAATAATCACAGACACACATACACACATGCATAAGAACTAATGGAGCGGGCAAATGGCCGTTAGATAGACAGGCAGCTCCTACGTCAGCACATACAGCTTCAGACACAATGACTCGGAAAGCCATGGAAGGCCCATAACGTCGATTGGACTCACCAGCTATGGAGAATGGCTAACTCTTGACTTTACAATGGCCCACACTCCAGTGTATTAACCTGTGTGTCAGCCTATAGAAAAATGCTATAAGCATACAGTAATTCTGTGTGCTTCAATTAAAATCACCTCTAGGGACTTTATTGTGCTCACATGGGTGTAGCAAGATGGAAAGAACAAACAGAGCAATGTAATTATTTGTAGGTATATTATGTTCTAAAGCTGCACTAAGCAAAGTCTGACCACTAGGGGCAGAGGGACATGACAACAAACTAAAAGAACTATGGTATAGCTTAATCGAGTGGCTATGGCTAACTTGTTAGCTGCACTTCGACATCTGCAGAAAAATGAGCAACTGCCTTGTAACCATGTCTTAGATGCTTTCTTTGGTAGCTACTTGTTAACTTAATCTCACTGTGGTTTCAAGCTAAGTCGGCAGCATGGTGTGCTTTTTTGAGCTTGTTTGCTGGAAATAGCTCGCTACAGTTTTATATGTGAGAATAATACTCAACTATACAGTCTAGGCCTATATGCAGGCTGGAGAACCAAAACAATCAGCCAGAAATGGCTAAAGTGGCTAAAACAGCCACTTCAAAGTTGGCTAAGCTTTCAATTCTGTACTGAATCTGTGTTAACATCAAATCAAATCATCATATTGCCTAATGTAAAATTAGTTTAGGCTACTGTAGCAGTATGAGAATACCTAAAATGTGTTAGAACAAGTGAGTCACTGTGATGTTTCTATGCTGCAGCATCTTGTCTTTGCCACTTTTGTAACTGTTCATTTATATAATTAGTGCTTTATTCTCATATATTCAGTTTTTTTTCATTTCATGCTGTAATCTAACAAGTCACAAGTATAACAAATATCTTAGGCCATGACCTTTTTTTCATTTGACTACACATGGTAACAAAGCATAATTTATCTGTCTGAATTTCCAGATTGTTACGTCAAGTGAAATCAGGAGACACACACTAGATACCTGCCAGCTGCACAACCAGATGACTATATTTCTTTCTTTCTTTTCTCCTCTTCTCAAACACATCAACATACAGACGCACCTCATACGTACTCATTGCCCCCTAACCCTGCTGCCTGTACACAAGAGGACCATTAATTCTGAGTGTGTGTCTGTGCGTGTACACATGTTCCTTGTGCCTAGGTGTGTATGTCGATGTGTCTGGTGGGCAGTTAGAGGAAGGGGGCCTTGTGTTTTCTTAGGGGCTGAGCAGAGCGGGGCCCCAGCAACACCACCTTTCCCCAGTCCATTCATCCAGCACCCCCCCTCCCCTCGGTAAAAGAAGATCTTTGTGTGTGCGCTAGTGAAGCAGCCCCAGTCAGTCCCAGTGTTCCCAGAGGAATACAATGAATGGGAGCATTTTGTCCCACTCTATAACTTCCACCCCCCCACTTCTCTCTTCTTCTTCTTTTTTTTAAGCCATTCGGACACACAGACTCGTTTTTATTCTCTCTTAATTCCCTTTTCTCCATGTCACAAGACGTCCGACCGCTTGTGTCTGCGTGTGTATGGGAATGCCTCAAAAGTACCCTGAACTTGCAGTGTGTGTGCGTGTGTGCATGTGCGTGCGTGATGAGGGCCTCCAGGCTAATCTTTTTTGGAGTGTGACCTAAACAAGCATTGTCTGAAGAACTGGTCAGTGATGAAACACATTGTAAACTGCATCTTACTGAACCAATTAATAACTGTGGATTAATACAGATGGTCTGGATGCCCTGTTGTGGCACAAGACATGTGGCTCTGGACAACAGCACATACACACACAACCTAAATTCTAACCGTGACTCTAAAACCAAGTCTTAAGCCTCAAACAGCCCTTTGATGAAGTGAAACCAAACAAAATGTCCAAAAAATGTCCGTAACTAGAAGGTCCTAAAACTCTAACTGGTCGTTGTAAAGACATTCTCAACAATACACATACCGTACAACCCCAACCTCTTTTCTTGTAAGGGCTTTGAGTGGTCTTGCATCATATGTTTTAGCCACAACTTAAATTTAGTCAAATAATGTGATTTCACAAAATATCTCCTCTCAAAGAAATAAACATTACGTTCTGTTCTAACAAGCACAGGAACATGAAGTAACACAAATACAGGACAACTCCCTCTAACAATTATGTTCTTTTTTAAAAATATTATACAAGAAGATGGTAGATAACTGGACACTAAAATGGCATTGTCCACTGAGTGTAATTGTGGCATTTCTGGAAATTGTCTGATATTGACGTTCTGTTTTGTTGAGTGGGTTACACACTACGGTTTGCAGGTTATTTTCAATGATCTATCAATTTGTTTTTTTGAATATTTTTGTTCAAAAATCTAACAAATGCTAAAAGGAATAGTGGTAAAACAATCCCATTCATAAGTTCCAAGATAACCAAAGCGATATCTAACCCCAAGATATTTTTTTGT